TAATGGGCACGGCATTACGGTATCTCCTGTATCGTCACTAGGTGACTGCTTCTACTTTGTTGGGTTGATTGTACTCTTCAGCAGGCGGAGTTAAGTCGTTTCACTTTCTTTCTACCTTCTCGCGAAAGCTCCAAGTTCTCTTTTTCCCGCTTCTCGTTCCAATGTCTGGATCACTGGATCATATATCGTCTGCTCTAGTGTTACCGAATTGCTGGGGGAGAAACTTTAGGCGCTTCGTACCGTACTATGGTCCTGTTGATGCCTCCCTTTTCAGTTTCCGATTGCCGGTACCTGACGGATTTCGAACCCTTCAGTCCGACCGTTTCCCCTTCGTCAAAACAGGTGTCGACCAGCAGAGTTACTCGACTCTCTTGTTGGTGGGGAGTTGTGAATTTCATAAGTCGGCTCGGCATAGGTATTCAGAGCTTTTCCGTCTTCAGATCTGATCTGTGGCCACTTTAGAGCTTTATCCATATAGGCGATAGCAATTTTAAGTTCATCACCGTAATGTTTCTGGAGTAGAGCCCTGGCTTCTTTGTAGCCTCTCTGTGGCGCCATGTGCTCACAACTGCGGACAAGCTCTTGAGGTTCCCCTCCGGTGAACTGTTCCAAGTAGTACAATTTATCGCTGCTGCTCTCTGCCTTGCTGTCGATGACATGGTTGAAGCCTCTTATAAAGGACTTGTAGGTGAGCGGGTCTCCCTTGAACACAGGCAAGTCTCGTTTAGGAAGATAAGACAGGTTATGCTGCCTTACTAGCATCTCAGTAATCTGACTTTGACGCTGCATCACATCGTAGCTGTAGCTGTCCCTCTCCTCCCCTCTACGGTGACCTTCTCTGGGGCCCGGTCCGTGTGCTGCATCAGAAGCTCCATCCTGCTTGTCCATCCACATGCTTGACTCTGTTGGGCGTGGTTTGACAGTTCCTTTTAGTAGGTGTGCTGAGGCAAGTTTCTCACCATATTTAGCTGGTTTTGAAGCAGTTCTGGATCCGGTGCCAGATGTCTCTGACTTGCCATGACGTTGGCTGCGTTTGAGGTAGCTGCTCATACCATCCTGCTGGTCTTCATACCCGTCAAGCACCTTTAACTTTGCATCACATTCAGCTACAGCTGCCTCCAACTCTAATTGTTCTCTTTGAGCTGCTGGAGCTGCTTTGCTTGCTGCTGGAGCTGCTTTGCTTGCTGCTGTATTAGAGAGGCTTCTTCTTCCTCAAGAGCCTGCTTCTTCTTTAAGGATGCTGCTCGAGCTAGCAGTACTGCCTTTTCAGCCTCCGCCCTCCTGCGAGCAGAAGAAACGGTAGAGGAAGCCACTATATGGTTACTGGCTCTGGAGGCGCTGTCTTCAGGCCTGATATCATCTACTTCAGACGAGCAGGCTTCCTCTCCACGGTCCTCTTTTGTGCCTTCGCGTACTCCTTTAATCCATTTTTCAGTTACAGTATGCGTACAAACTGTTCAATGTTTGCTGACTTGGGATTAAACCAGTGTTGCTGGTCTTCAGACGCCTCCTCTTCAGGTAAGGAAGAGGAGGCGTCTGAAGACCAGCAACACTGGTTTAATCCCAAGTCAGCAAACATTGAACAGTTTGTACGCATACTGTAACTGAAAAATGGANCCTTCCCACGTCCTGCTGTGGTCTGCTCCTCTCCGCCGTGCCCCTGGCTGACTCTGTGATGTAGCAGCGGTTGCTATGGAACTGCAAATCAGCCATTTAAGCAGTAGCACTCTAATGGATTTGCAGACAGTAAACAGAAACTACAGACTGCATCGTTACCTACATCTCTGAAATAAATGACTCTCAGCTCGTATACACACACAGACAGCGGGGACACTTTGTTCCCGTACCAAAAGCAGCCCTGTTTCTCTTTGCTTTGGATGATCAAAGTGCCTGTCATGTTTATGTTGATGATTTAGTTCCCCATCTTTTCTGTCCCCCTTACAGGACTGTATCCAGTTGAACCAGTACAAGCTGAAGAGTGAGATTGGAAAGGTGAGTTTTCTCCTTTTTTGCTGAATTAGGAGTGGTTTAAGAAAAGAGAAGATTGACCCTTTACCCTTATTTAGAAATTAATTTGGTTAGAAACGCAATAATCATAGCATGTTAGCTGTCAACTGTAATGCTAGCGGATTCATTTACACTTGTTTTTTTTATTATTTGGAACTAATGAGATGAAAATGACTATAGTAAAAACCCTTCTTATCAAACTCTGTCAACGTGGAAACTGTTGATTTCAATTATTTATATTTATGAAATGTTCATACAAAGGTTAGTCTGATCGTTATCTACATGACAATTAAAAGAAGAAAAACAAATTGTTATTAAAATCCCCTTTAATGCTCACCACTTATCCTGGAGTCTTGTCGTGGGGGAAGCAGTTCCATCAGTGCCCCAAACTTCCCCTTTCCCATGCCACGACTGGGGGGGATTCCAAAGTGCTCCCAGGCCAACCTGGAGATACAGTATAATCCCCCCACCTGGTCCTGGGTCTGCCCGTCTGCCTCCTCCCAGCTGAACGTGCCTGGAACACCTGCCTAGGAAGATAGCTAGGTGGCATCGTTACCAGGTGCCTTACCACCTCAACTGGCTCAGGGATGACTAAACTTCTCGCCTTATCCCTGAGGGAGATTCCAGCCACCCTCTGGAGGAAACCCATTACAGCCGCTAGTATTCACAATCCCATCCTCTTGGTCAGGACCCATCTCTCATGACCCATCCTGGTGAGGGAAAGAACGAAGATGGACCGTTAGATGGAGTGCTTTGCCTTATGGCTCAGCTGTCTCTTCGTCACAATGGCTGTACAATTTCTTATTGAGATCAATTTGACCCAGACTGACATGCTCACTGGGGTTTTGAAATGTACCACTGAAAGTAAAGGTGAAGCTAAAGGAAACTTCACTATAGTGCTAAATAAGTAGTCAGAGGATCACCAGAGCTATTAGGATTCATCATCAGGGGACTATGAATAGCTGTACAGAAAGTGTACAATAATCCATCCAAAGGAGATATTTCCATCTGGACAAAAGTGGACAGACCGACTATCATCAAGAGCCTCACCATGGCCAGCATGGCCATCAAAAACAAACTGTGACAAAATCACTAGATTTGATATCGTAAGGAAGATGAAATAAAAAGCACAACATTCAAAGAGTGCTGTAGAATTCATGTGGCGTGCTAGACCATTTCAAACTCCATAGAAGACACTGAGCGGCGGCATTACTAAATCTGACAGCACACCAGAACGACTCAGGGTTTTGCATTTCAAAAAGTGACGCTTGGAGATAAACTCTGCAGGGAATTCACTGTGGCAGCAAAAGAGATGGAAATTGAAAAAACTGGATAACTGAAAAGAGCAAATCTTTTTACACAATAAGGCAAGACACAATGTGTTTTTAGATTACCAAACAGCAGATATATGGCCTATATACAGCAGCAGTATTGTTTGATATTAATGTAGTTGATATTTAATTTTTTTAAAAAGGACAAACATCAGATTGATATCTATATGTACACTTGATCATATCTGTGTTTAGAAATTAATCAGTGATGTCCTATTCTCTATTTTTAAACAGAGTGAATCCTTGAACACTGAATTGCTTCTGATTTGATCCGTTTTTAAAAATCTTAATTTGGAGGATTTCACACTCTAAAGCAAACAAATTGATTTTTGTGTGTCTATGAGTTACTTTTCTTCCATTCAGTTACCATCAGCCAGCTGGCAAATTTGGCCAAGCAAGACATGAAAAGTTATATAACGTGCAAACTTTGTTTAATTCCTGTGCGTATGTGATCAGCTTTCCAAGCAGTGTGTGTGTGTGTGTGTGTGTGTGTGTGTGTGTGTGTGTGTGTGTGTGTGTGTGTGTGTGTGTGTGTGTGTGTGTGTGTGTGTGTGTGTGTGTGTGTGTCCGCCGGCCGCCTGTTCTCAAAGTAATGATTTATGTGGTTTCTAATCTGGAGCATGAAAAATAACATTGCATTTTCGTTTAGTAATGTTTTACTGTGAACAAATATACCCACATCTTAATATGTGTTTACTGCATTGCAGGGCTCCTACGGTGTGGTTAAACTTGCCTACAATGAGGATGATGACAAACATTATGTGAGTTCTTGTTTTTTTATTCCATGCAGCAACTCGTCTCTCAGTTTGAATCAAGCCTCTCAGTTTGTATTGCAAAGCTTTACGTAGTGTCTTAATCATCCCATAGGGGTTCCTTTTGGTAAAATGACTATTTGACTCGCCTACTTAGATTTTTTACTATTTACCTTATGTGAGAAACTGCTAAATTACTAAAACTTTTGCAGTTTGGACTCAAAACGTCTTTACAAAAGGCGGGGCCTGGAAATACTCATCAACAATTTCATCAACAATTTATCCAATCATCATACATTTGAGTGGATATGTTTAATCTGTGTTGGGGAATGGGACAACCAAAGCATTTTCATGCTGACCCCAAATCTGCATCTCAAACCCTGATTAGCAGAATATCACTGAGATCTGAAGTATCGTAATTATTTAATGTGGGTGTGGCCTCATTAGGCAGGAAAAATAGTGCCATGGCGACAATGCTGCATGCAGCTTTAATTAAATATTATCCCACAAATTACACACCGACTAAATCAATAATTTGACACAACAAATTGATTCAGTGATAAAGGATCGTTTTGCTTCCACCGAGAAAAATTTGTCAGTTCTACTGAATTGTTATGGCTGGTTTTTATACTGTTTTTCATTACTTTATTATAGGTCTCAGATATATATAAAACATGTCTCTGAAGTGTTTTGCTCGAAATACCAAAAAGATCATGCATTGCAGCAACCCATAATCCCCTCTGTTTCAGCCCTGTTTCAAAAGTGCTGATTCTGCATCTGTAGCTTTTAGAATAAGGAGCCACGCCCCTCTGAGAGATATTTGGTTAAAAAGAACACAATGGTGCTCTAGGAGGAGATTCAGGTGATAAGGTGGGTGGGGGGTTATCTTGGTTGGTGATTGGCTAATGGTTACACAAACAAAAACATCGTTATGCCATCATAAAGTGGCCAAAATCTGATCTGCTCATTTTCAGACAGGTTTTTTATATAAATGGATTGGGATGAAAAGTGAGCCAATCTTTTTTCCTGAAACTTTCAGAATCTCTTTACAAAGAGGGGACATATGTTTATGTATATAAAAGACATGAACAATTTGATTTTGCATAATAGGTCCCCTTTAAAATGAAAACGGCTCTGGTCGAGGTTTGTCTGTTCACATTTTCTTTTCAATTAACCAGTTTTTAAACACCTCTAGAGCTCATACC